GAAGTACCTATTTCATACCAACTTTCCAATAAATCTTGATTTTGACTGGTAACAGTGGGTATATTTCTACATTAAGAGGACAAGAAAAAATATGTTCGTGAATTGTAGAGTATCTATTCCATAGATTTTTCCCAATTAACTCCTTCTACATTGACACCGACATCAAAGCGATATTTCTGCTACACTTATCCTATAATCTCGAAAGCATAGTTTAACTGCGTAATACTTAAAAACTTAAAATGAAATAATCGCTAAAATATGTTTCAGATAAGTAGATTTGATGACGCATGGTATTACGTTACATCAGATATTTGAATGAAGATTCAAACTTATTATAAGCATTTACCTGAGAGTTTTTGTCTTCGCCATATGCAAAGGGTGCATACAATGTAGTGACGAAAAGACTGCACACAGACATACATGTGAACAACAGAGCAAAACGGTGAATTAAACTGTATCATAAAGCTGTTTTGGCCTTCTAGGACTCGCCAGTGATGCCAAGGGCCTAAATTTTGAAGCCTAGGAGGCGACGTAGTAAAATTAAATGTGACCGAAAGAAGAGTCTAAACTTATACTGGGGAGTGCAATAATCATATAATTAAATAGAAGTCTTACTTTTACTTTTTCACTCAATTAATTTTAAAACAGTCCAAGTATATATATATATATATTCTGAAATGAATTAAAACTTGACATGCAGGTTAGAACAAAGCTACCATCTTCTAATTAATTACGTAAATATGTAGTATCACCTACAGTGACGTCACAGGATACCATGTAATAACAAAGAACCTATCGATATAACACCAGAATTTTACTGCAAACTCAAAATAGTTGAAATGTGTGGAAAATACAAACAAAAAAGAATGAATAACTCACAGAGCTTTGAAAAAAAATGTATAACTATTGCTCAATCCAAATACATTTTAAAAAGAGAGCATGGTTGACAATTGCGGAACGACTAGACATACTAACGAGCAACGTCCAAACTGATGTACCACAAGGATATAAAAAAAACTTATATCTTGATTATGCTTAATGTTTCATGGTTTTTAATTTCTACCATGACGGTGGATAAAATTACATAAAATATTGTTCACAAGTCCTTGCATATCCACTCAGCTACTTGTTAACACCATATGTTGGTAAGCCGGTTATCTACTAACTAGAAATGGACAATTAATCACGTTAATCAACTGTCAACTATTCCTGTAAGTTTCACTGTAGAAAAAGTTGTTGTATGATAAGGCTATGTTTTCGATTTAATGACACTGACAAAACTGGTTGTATTGACGCATCCGTACTGTTTTCTTTATAATCTAAATAGTTAACCAATAAATAGACCTAGTTTGATGTTAGTTGATTGACAAATCTCACGTTTCCCGAATTTCTACATAATTAATGCTTATGATATTTTAACACTGACGATTACTATTAATATTTGACATCGATTTCCTTTAGTGTTTATACAAAAAAGAACAAAAGAAATTTCATAGGTGTTTTTGAAGTGTTATTCGAGTTTCGCTTTTCTTTGTCAATTTTACCATCAAGCTAATTTCTCGATATTTCACTATCGGAACAGTATGTAAACTTTGAACTAAGAAAATTATACTGTAAATTTTAAAAGGTTTCTACATCTAGTCTGGTAAATAGTGATGCATTCGTTTAACGGCATTCCATTACCACACATATTGATTTCTAATAGATAACCGATGCTTCTGAACCTCTAGAAGACATAGTCATATATCAGTTCAACAGCCACATTACCATCTTTTTAAAGATTTGGTTCCACGGTAGGTATCTGTATACGTTCTATAAAGATATCCATCTTTGCAGTTCTCCCTGGTCAATAGTAAGCTGCATAATGAGACCATTTTACAATCTATTGAAGCTTTGTTATAGTCTTTTTTAATCTACACTGTTATTCATATTTACATGCATAGCACTAGTTCCAAATAGAAATTAAAAAAAAACATGAACTGAAACTTAAAAGCAACAATCTCCAAATCTGACAACAATAAAAATAACATCAAGGACACTATAGACTTTTTACCCCCTATCTTCATCGTCTTCTCACTCAGCTGCATGACAAAAGTTACGATTTAAATTTACTTTTCATGAATATTCCACTTCTTGGACATTACATTCTTGCTTCCCCAATCTGTGGTTTTGCCAATGTGATATCGATTCAATATTATTAGGTAAGCTCAAAGAATGACATAATTCTATGTGATTAATAACGTGTGATGGGTGACAGCTGTCAGAAAACCCAGATAGGGTGATGAAAATTATGGAGAGTTTAACTGATAGGGATTTGATAAGAAAATGAGTGAAATTCGTCTTTTTTCTGTTTTGTTTACTGGCGTTTATTCTGATTAGAAATAATACATTAAAAACGTAGAGATTTCTGAAATCCTTAAGGCGATATTTAAGACAAGACTGTGATATGTTTTTGTGCACATGTATATGTTTTTACACTGTATGAAATTAAATCGACTTAATTTGATTTCAGATAAGCATATTATTGAAATGTACATCTAAGCTTTATAAGCAAAAGGATTACAAGACAAATTATATTAGGGATTCACACGCTTCTATCTTTTTTGGTCATCTGTCACCAGTAAACACAACACTAATGCAGAAATACCTCTCTGCAGAATGGAGAATAATTACTGGTAACAAATATGATTATGGTATTAGTAACTATAATGGAAGTGATGAATAATTAAACAAATGTATTTTATTGTACAACAATTCCAAACAAACTATCCAAACTGTATTAATAATTCTTATTGCGGAAAATCCATGTGGTTAGAAAATGACACCAAACCTTTTCACACCCGTTCTGGGAATCGGACCCATGATTACTGTACGGCCTAACCTGTCATAACGGCCACCTTAGTTAGACGGCCACCTGCTTATAACGGCCGTTTCCAGACCCTCCCAATCGTTTTTGCTCATTATTGATACCTAATTTAACGGCCACCTGTCTAATTCGGCCAGCGGCCACCCTTTTCGTCCCCAAACTCGCGATTGAACCTCGTTTAAACGGCCATTTTGACCACAAGTCATTTGACAAGCTTTCTTGACTCCGAGTCATGTTTTCTCGCCACGTGAACATTCCTACAAAGAAAATAGCTGATGGCACGTAAACACAATTCACCATGCATTTTCTATTGAGTTCGATTTCATTTACGTCACTGGTATACACAATACAGGCATATCATCACTATTTTTGCAAATCACTTCGAAATATGAGCAGCAAACGAAAAACTTGAAGGTAGGGCTCAGTACCGGTACTCGATATGTATCGAAAACCGGTATTTTACGTTCGATAGATATATCGGATCGAAAGTTTATATATCGAACAAAATATCGATCATTAAGAGAGAATAAATGCACTGTCAAAAAAACCCCACATTTAGTTGTTTTTTGTCGATCAAATTCCATTGCGAGTGTTTTCGCTTCGTAAAATCAACATTTCGCTAGAATAGAGAGCGGCTATCCGTGACCTCATGTCATGGATATTAATGAGGAGTAGAGTAAAACCCAGAAACATTCCCGACAACAGGTAACTAGGATGAGAAATTTTATAAAGAAATATTTTAATGGATAGAAAGCAAAACAACGCAGTGGTTCGTTTTCGAAGGTTGTAAGAACAATAAATACAATACTGGAGCGTTTCCGTTCCGCCGCCATTTTTCGTGCGACGTCATTATAAAGTTCTCACCCACTCTAGATACTAGTCTTTACTGGATGTCGTTACATGACATCGAGTGTTTGATTGAAAACGCAGGCAGATCAAGAATGAATAATTTGTGTTTACGTTTTCTTGGTCGTAAATGGAATATATTCAAACAAATAATAACAAATATTGGGAATAATTTTGCATTAACAAACCAAACCATGAAGAAAATGTTTTGACTTGAATCACATGCGAAATTACAAGTAGAACATAACGGTTGTTCGATTAAGAATTTTTCAATAGCTTCAAAAGACTTGTACATGCCTACCTTTCAATTTTGTTCTTTTGTATTTATAGTTGTGTCATAAAATAAAGATTGGTCTGTCTTCAAATTACTTGCTAACAAGATAATAAATAATAGCAGGTGATGTTTTATATCTTATTATTAAACTGTGTTCAAATGTCAATGTGCAAATTGCCGCAACTTGGGCTCGAAAAGAAGGAACCTCAATTAAGAGCCACCTCTCTATAAAGGCCACTTTCATAATTTCCCAACAGTGGCCGTTTAATACAGGTTAGAATGTATTAAAGACGAGTGCGAGTGCTGCAATCGTCGAAAAAATTAAAAGATGAAACGTGACAGCTTATGTTGCATATTCTGACAAAACATATCAAGCATTATTGAGATCACAAACGATTCCTTTCGGGCCATTAAGACTTATCCTAAATCACATCTCTTTGTCGAATACGTTGCTGTGCCATCCTAATAGAGTTAAAGTGAATTTATAAAGGGCGGTGTAGACTATCGACGTTAACTACATGAGGAACCTCTATCGCTATCATAAATAGTTCTCCGCTTGTCAAATCGCATCCCAGGCGTCAGATAAGCTCATTGTAGAGCTTACAGATCTTAATAAAATCAATGGCGATCTGACAAATATTGTTGATTATCACGTAGTCATAATTTGACGGCACTATAAAACGATATAGGGTATTTAGAAATCTTCCATATGAGAGGCCAGCAAACCCTTCAATCAAACGCCCCCTTTTAACCTATCAATAAGCGCACGCAAGATGTTGATTGACCTTTTACCTCCGTGGGAAGCCATATGACCTTTGCCCTTGTTGGAACCGCGTTAAACCAGCCCTCTATTTGAATGACAATGAGGAAAGGTATTAAATTATGTTTGCTGTCCGATATAAGACGGAGAACAGGCCACGTCTTCTGCCAGGGACCAGTGCCTTATACAGAGAATTTCCTGCTGTTTAAAGTTCCGTGCATAGCAGTGTTAAGGATAAGGTACTGAGGTTCATGATGTGCTCTACCACCTGCTGGATCGTCATACTGGCGACATGTGTCGCTTACACTCTTGGCACGTCAATCACGCGTTACCAGGTAAATTATTTACTTTTTCACCCGTATTTATCTATTTATTCAATTATTTATTTATCAACGTATCCAAGTTCTTCTAAAATGTTTATATCAAAATATTTTAATCTTGAGAATTGCATGGTTTGATCAACCTCCCTACCTAAGCTTGCAGTTAGTGTTTTGATAATTCTTGATAGTTTTATTAAGATGAATACACATCGGCCTGGCAAGCAATTTGTCGCTAATATCGAAATTGTACTTACGCAGTTTTACTTTCGCCTTTTTCGCCGTTTTATCCGTAGGGCGAAAAAGGCGAAAGTAAAACTGCGTAATTTCTAAAAATCGAAATTCATGTTTATTTGTTTTGTTGTTTTGTTTTAGTTTTGTTGATTAAGAGGGATTTAACATTTTATGGAAATAAACGGTTTGTTTCGTGCGAATATAAACCTGTGCGATTGTTTCTTCGAGTACAGTAAATTTTCATGCAAGTTTTTTGTACAAAAATTGGTTGTTATATGCTGTTACTTTGAACACAAAACAACGTGCTTTTTAATATCGGTGAACAGTTAACCAATACAGCCAGCATTACAAAAAATGACGTAATAAAATGTGGAAGAGGTAACCCATTCCAATTTACGTAGGCTATTTACGACCTTTTGCAGTCGTATCGAGAGTAATCCCATCATACTGGCAGTAAACGAGGAAACAGTAGAGAGATGTAATGATTACATTTGATTGAGAGACCAAACGTAACAGATAATCGTTATTCTCCGAATACCTACTTAAACCCATTAACCTAAAATGAAGATTTTTCATTATTTTACGCCTTCTGTAAAATCATACATTTTCTTAGGACTTAATTTTCTTCTTTTCCCCTATCATTATTACGCCTACGGTAAAATAATACATTTTCGTGGGCTTAATTTTCTTGGATTTTTTAATCCCTTTTTGCGAGCATTTTATTTTGTGGATAAATATTGCTTATTTAATCTTCTCAAATTTAACTTTAGCAGTCTGTGGACACATGATTTCGTGCATTGAGAGTACCCCGAAATCAACGAATATAAATCACCCTCAAAATGAATTTGACAGGGTAGTGTTTTGAAACGTGGGCATTGTACTTAATGATTTTGTTTTAATTTATACCAGATGTAAAATGTAATGGTGATATTTACGGTACAGTACCAGTAAACATACTTAAATCGCAAAATGTCTTTAACCAACTGTGTAAAAGTATAAGTCACTCTTATCATCTGACACAATGACAAGCATAGCAGCAGCTTCGCATCACGATCATTAACTTGCATTTCTGCGTATCAAGACCTTCGCTATGTTAACGTTACAAGAGAGAAACGCTTTACTTCATTTGAAGATATTAATTAAAATTCAAATTTCACTTGTACTCTAAACAAAGATCAATTTAAAACTTAATTGGGTGTTTTTTCTGTTTGATTGCTTCTTCACTTTGTTTCTTTTAGCAAGTGAAACTTGACGCTTTGAGAACTCGATAACTAGTCATGGCTCTATTTTTGAGAGCGTGACGTTACTTCAATTTTACCAAGAATCTGGATCTAATGAAAATAATTTGTCAGTCACAAGTTTATTGGTGTTTGGTTTCTTAGTGATGATATAGAATTGTTTCCAGCGACACTACATAGTTTTTTTATTTGTTACACAAAGCGTTACATCATCAAAAGATTGGTATCAATCGTACATGTCTGTAGAATCTTGAGAGCTACTTTAGAACTAAAATCTATATCTGGTCTGTCTATTTTGATTCCGCATCAATGACAACAGTCCGTATTGAAGAGCATAAAGGCAATTTGTTCTAACAAGATCATTTTACCCAATCAGTTAAACAGATGGTGTTAATAGTGAAGCATTTCCGCACTTATTTTTAACCGCCAACATTTCTGTTTGAGCAATTGAGTTAAGTTAATTAGAAACATGTCAGTTAGAGTACCTTTCAATTATCATGTAGCAGACACGCTATTTCATTCTCAGTTCGCCGTTTGCTCTGACGCATATTAGATCTTAAATTAATAATATTTACACCTTCAAATAAAGAATATATACTATAATTTTTGTTTTAACAACTTCATTCAAGGGTTTGATTAAAAAAGGCTTGGTAGGGGGGGGGGGGTGTTATGAAATATACATTTAATCGGCCTCATTTCTATACCTTTGAGTAAGTAGGGATATATGTTAAAAACGTTTACTTATTTATCAACGTGAGGCATTTATTGCGAAATGTGAAGTGAATTGCTGTATCAATCACTCTCAAGATCGCGTAATTGTTTTTTGTCTGATCACATGGTGTTCGCTTTATTACAGTATGGTGACGACCTTCATTATTTTATTGATAGCTGAACACAATACCGATACGTTTTACTGATACTAAATGCATTGTTCGTCTTGTGGGTAATCTATATGTTTTCACCATTCTATGATTTTGTTGCCTTCCACGACCCCTTAAGTATTACAATTATTCCCTCTGCGTGAGTTTTAATTGTTTTTTTTTATATTCTGAAAACATTGTCATTTGATACATCAGCCATGAATCAATGCGTGAAGAGCTCTGTCTGAATTTTTTGTTTAAAAAGTAATATGACAAAATATAGAAGGGTTGTAATGTGTTTGACATGTCATTCTCTTCATCTCAAGGTCAGGATAAGACGTACGTCTCTTCGTAAAATGTTTACCAAAAGCTTAATATAACTCACTCTTCAGAAAGAGGATCAACGTCACCACAGCGCTTGTTTGATTCATTGATGCAGAATTGGGTAACAGCTATAAAGGAAACGCTATCTCTTTGAACAAACCTGTAGATATAATGCTACTACAATTTTTGTAATCAGTTTTTGTAATGTTTTTCTGCTCTGTTGTCATTTGCTCGTGGTTTGATTATGATTTTGATGTGGCACTAATCTTTACAATATTGCCAGTAAAACGAAAATTATGAAAACATATGTTAGCGAGATTTGAAGTATACAATTCTGGAAAAACTGAATCCTTTTTGACATAGGCAAAGTTACTACCTTTCATTACAATACCACTGTATTGAGATTTTCCTCATTATTCTGCCCTAAGTTATTTTTCCCTACTGTGAGGTCACGCATCTAAATTGGGTAGAATATTCTTTCTTAATTTCTTGAACACGGGCAGAAGGTAAATGTTAAATCCATGGAAAAAATGAGATTTCCTTTTTAACCTGAAAAGGGCACCATATCCCATGGGATACGACATTTTCATTCTGCCTCATTTCTCCTCATTTTGACACGGATTTGGTAAAATTAAATTTGTTTCTGTTTCTTTTGTGGCGTATGAAACTTTATTTTCCTATTTTAGTTGCATTTATCCGATACTACAGTCAATAAATATATACATGAAAAACTTTTATAAATGTCAAAGGACAGAGAAAATTAACTGAACAATGATATATCTGCATTGTGATAAAATAGTTTAGTCCAGTGTTCATTGGGCAGTTTAATGTTATCACTTCATCACTCATTGATTGATGTAGTGGGTAACAAAGAACCTATGATAACGTTAAAAGTAGGACAATATGTTATCAAATCATAAGGATTATCTTATGATATTTCATGCAATTGTCCTTAACATGGAGCGTACCTAGACTAAGACTACGTCCCCTTTTTAATAGTAAGCTTTGTTTTAACTGTTCGATAACGTAAAAGGCAATTATAATGAACACTTAAAATGTATTTTAATCATAATCAAATAAAATATCAGAGTAGTGAAGTATTTGATTAAAAAAGATGAAATAAGCATGAATCTTTATTGCGATAAAAAGTTTTTATGGGTACACTCTTCCATTCCATATCAAATCCTGTTATGATATCTGGTATTCTATTGGAATGGCATGGCATGAAGTTGATATAATATGGAGTAAATATGTATATGGAATGTCGAAAATAAAATGTCATTAAATCATGCAAGAAACACGTCAACGACAAAAGGAAACCAGGGCCCATATTCATGAAACCGTTCTCATGCTCAAACATGAATTTTGTGCTCAAGCTTTATGTCTTGTTTAAGTTAAAAATGAATAAATAAGGCCGATTTTGCCAAAAATTTAAAATCAATTTTGAAAGGACTTCAAGTCAAAGATGTATTCAAGGTTTAAAACTCACATTTTGTATTATTTTATATACTCTAGGTGAATTATAAAAATGTTTGCTTGAGCACAAAATATATGCTTGAGCATGAAAATGGTTTCATGAATACGGATCCAGGTGTCACAGAGAACCATATTAACGATACCATCATCACAGTTCTATTGACTGCAAGTCGATATTGATTTAAATCGATGTCATAATATCTATTGTCAGACTTTGTTACAAACACATCGAAATAAGGGATATCGTCAAAGGAACTTTCTGAAGGATATGAACCGTAGGTTCATTATCAAATACATGCAAACTTTATAAATAAAAAGCCTGGGCATATCTTCTTCACCGAATGCATATTTTTGCCATTGATTTCCTTTGATTCCCCATCTCGAAAACGGGATTCTCAGAGCTAGTTTTACAGATAATTTTACGGCAATGCATTGTGTTGAACGCGACATAAATCCTGTTACAGTTAACGAGTTTAAAGTAGCAACCAAGTCAGTCATGATGAATATCAATTAGGTTCTGTTGTAAATTTTACTTTGGTAGACGTAACCTTATTAACATCCATTTACGAACTTTAACACGAAATTTACGAACTTAATGATAATAAAACACATTTTTTGTTCAGGAAAAATGGTGTTTGACAAAGTTGAACTACCAATAAACAGAATTATAGATGCACTTTATAAAGTCAACGACTTTGTGCGAACTTAAACATTATTGTGTGAAGATGTTCAGGATATAAATAGAGTTCTATTTATGATGAAGATTAGATGTCAGGTCAATCAATTACACTTCTAATATCCCCGCTATGTTGGTCCGAAATTTATTATCATATGATAAAATTTATTACTTATGTTTATTTACTGCGAAAACGTTATATGAATATTA